TCATGTGGTATTAGCACAAATGCAAACATGAGCCTTGAAATCTCGTAGACTTAGTTAGAACATTGCCAACAGATAATCCGGAATTTGCTTATTCCTGGGCTTAATAGATTTTTCTAAAAAAAAAAAAAAAGAATATACCAACTGTAAAAGGTCCTCAGAGGGAACTCACATAGAATACTGCTGTGAGTCCCAGGCCCGCACATTATGTAGTTGCTACACTTTTAGCATCTATTAATTGAAAAACAATGTAATAAAAGACTATATTAATTCAGGAATACTTTAAATGGTATTTCATTTATTAAAAAGTCACCTACTTATATTTGGGAAAGGCTTGTACATTTTACTCATTCTGCAGACAATTCTTGAACAAAGAAAGGGATTCAGGGAACTCCTACAATATATCTGCAGACCCACTCTCTAGGGACTCCCAGCGACCTCCCGGTGGGAAATCCCTGGTCTAGTTTACTGCAGGGAGTTCTTGCCTTAGAATGAAATTAACCTTATAGGACAATCTTCTCAAGATGTGGGGAGACAGCAGAATTGATCCCTCCTGCCCCCCAAATTGGCCAAGTCTATGCCCAAGGCCCCCACATCGCTCATCTCTGTCTTCCTCGGACTAGGGGTTGGGGGTGGGTACGTCTCTGCTGCCCTCCATCTCCTTGACATAAATCTTGAGGGGGGAACCCAGACCTGAGCCTTTTTTAAAAGCTCCCTGGATAATTCTAATGTGTCCCCAAGGATTGAAAATTCTGTTCTAGCTGCAAAGCACAACAGGGTTCCCTGAGCAGACAGAAAGGATCTAAACAACCAAATCAAATTAAATGGTGGCCGCTTAATCCTGAGTTACATGTTCTCAGAATAAAGCCAGGGTCCGGGGCTGAGGGTCCTGGGCAGATGCAGGTGACCAGCATGAAAAGCATCCAAAACAGCTCTGGAAGAAAACACTTCTATTTGGTATTTAAGCCCAGATCTCGACCAAATCTGAACAATCCACTTTTAGCCATTGTTAATATCAATAAATATTTTTCCTTTTTCTTATTAAATAGCTAATTCATTCCATTTTAGGAGAAAAACATAGAAAAGCCAAAAAAAGGGGGGGGGAGAGAAGAGGAAAGGTAGAAATATATTTTTCCCTCAATTAGAGATAATTGGTGATAATATCTGGGTGCTATTTTTAAAAAACTAGAAACATACTGTGTCTTAATCTGCTTTTTCCCTTAAGAACCTATTGTGACTTTCTTCCCATGTCAATAAATATTTTTGTATAAACTCTGATATGTTCTTATTCATAGTCCATAATTTATGTTACCAATTTTCTATTGCTAGATTCTTGGATTATTTTTGAATTTTTGCTAATATTAAGGAATGTCATTATGAATGTTCTTATAACTAAATATTTTTGCACATCCTTGATTTCCTGAGGACTGTCTATTGTTATTTGAAGCCAAGAGGACCCCTGAAAACCACTCAGCAAAATTATTGAATAGCCAGTTACATAATTGCAGATTATTTTGGAAAATTTCTACTCTATCTGAATTGAATGGACTAATGGGTTACCTGTGTTTATTTTTTACTTTTTATTATGGAAAATAGTGGTAAGAATATGTTTAGTTTTGTAAGTAACAGCCAAAACTGTCTTCCAAAGTGGTGGTACCATTTTTTCACTCCCACCAGCCATGAGTAAGAGTTCCTGTTTCTCCACATCCTTGCCAGCATTGGGTGTCACCAGTGTTCTGGATTTTGGCCATTCTAATAGGTGTGTAGTGGCACCTCAGTGTTGTTTAAATTTGCATTTTCCTGATGACATATGATGTAGAGCATCTTTTTATATGGATATTAGTCTTCTTTGGTGAGGTGTCTGTCAAAGACTTTGGCCCATTTTTTAGTCAAGTTCTTTGTTTTCTTATTGTTTCATTTTAAGAGTTCTTTGTATATTATGAATAACAATGCTTTATCAGATATATCTCTTGTAAATATTTCCTCCCAGTCTGTGGCTTCTCTTTCTATTCTTTTGACAGCGTCTATCAAAGAGCAGAAATTTTCAATTTTAATGAAGTTCAGTTTATCAACTCTTTCATGGCTTGCACCTTTGGTGTCATATCTCCAAAGTCATTGCCAAACCCAAGGTCATCTAGATTTTCCTCTATTTTGTCTTCTAGGAGTTTTGTAGTTTTGCGTTTTACATTTATGTGTGTGATCCATTTTGAGTTCATTTTTGTGAAGGATGTAAGGTCTGTGTCTAGATTCATTTTTTGCATGTGGATATCCAGTTATTCCAGCACCATTTGTTGAAAAGACTCTTCCCTTGTATTTTTGTTTTTATTTTCACTTTTGTTTTGCTTTTGTGCAATTAATTTGTTGGCAAAACCAGGTTACACAGGACAGAGGCCAGCAAACTATTTCTGCAAAGGGCCAGAGAGTAAATATCTTAGGCTTTGAGAGCCATACGGTCTTTGTTCCAACTATACAACTCTGCCTTTGTAGTGCAAAGCAGCCATAGACAACATGTAAATGAACGGGCATGTCTCTGTTCCAATAAAACTTTATTTACACAAACAGGAAGTGGGCCATAGTTTGTAAACCCCACTGTAGGATATCCCACATTCTGGATCTGGCTAACTGTTTTCTCTTGGTGTTCTTAACTTGTTCTTCTACCCACTGTATTTCTAATTAGATTCAAGTA